TATATATAACTGATTTTATAGATATATACAGTATATTTAAGGGATAATCAACGGTTTGCTGTGCATTAAAGGGTTTTAAATGCAAGACGTGGAGGCAAAGAACCACCCGACGCCAAGTGCATTTAAAATCCTTTAATGCACAGCAAGCCGTTGATTATCCCACTTATTCCACGGTCCTTTGCCAAGTTATAGACTAGTTAAAACTAGTATAGCTCTTTGCAGCGCAATATTTGACCAGAAGTGTAAAAATGATGGTTATTTTCGTCAGTTGTGGCACGTTAGCTCTAGCATTCTGCCCGCTTCAAATCAGACTCAGAGATGAAATAGTGCGGTAAGATGACATTTATTTGAATAAATTATAGCATTTATTTCAATTAATTATCTATCTATCTATCGATCGATCGATCGATCGATCGAGAGAGAGAGAGAGAGAGAGAGAGAGAGAGAGATGATAGTTGTGTGTGATTTACCTGCGTGTTGCATCTGCGCGTCTCTCTACAAACAATTAATTACTTCAAAAACAGCGCCACCTCATTGCTGAAAAATATAATGTAACGATCTAGTATGTATCTAGGCTGAATAAAAATCGCGGGGAAGCGTTGACAACAAGTTTATGTGTGCGCGCAGCACAATCTGCAATCTGCGACCTCTCTCTCGCTCTGTGTGTGTGTGTGAGTGGTGTGTGTGTGTGTGTGTGTGTGTGTATGTGTGTGCGTGTGCACTGTATGTGTGTGTGTCTCTCTGCTGGAAGTTCTACCTTCTCTGGTGCCGCGGGGAATTAACAGGAGTATTTTTGCATGAAGTTGGACGGTGAAGTGCTTTCTTCCCACGCATCAACCACAGACACAGCATTCGCCACACCACAAGCATCCCGGCAAAAGCAACTCTCAGCTCGGCCCTCATTTTCTTTCAAGCGCAGCCCTCTTATCCACTTCACTTTGTGCTTATTCATTACGAAAGAATTTTTCATGATATCTGAAAACAAGTGGTCTGAATGCAGGTTAAACTGTTGATGACTTTTCAATGTCACTAGTATATTATTACCACTTGCCAGTTAGAACGCTTTTCAAGGTTGTTGCAAAATATCTTAGACTAAAAACCACAATTCTCATGAATTCAGCGTGCCTTTACATGAAAACACTCCTTTAGTAGAGGAGATGTTGGTTATTTATAGAGCAAAAGCACACTTTCAAGAGGAGTCCTTGAACAAAGACCCTGAATTGTATTCAAACTCATACCTATGAATGTCCCATCTCTGATTTTGCATAATTAGCCTTATTTTCCTCAAATACGCAAGTACATTTGTTTAGTTAGCACAAGGGTTATGAAGAATGACCACTGAGTAAAGATAAACATGCTGTTACTCCATCAGATTGCTCATAAATTGGAATTAATAACAGCTAGAAATCATTACCATGACCGTTACGCCAGGAATCACACCAACTCGGAAGTCAGGCTTTCCAGCTTCTTACTTGGAAAAGTGCAACAGAATGCCACTTGAACTTGAGATTCGAACTTGGAAATCCACAACATTATGCATACCTGGAGGCACAGAAGATGTACAAACACTACTGTTCTAAAGTTTGGGGTCAGTAAGATTCCTTTTCTTGAAAGAAATTTGAGCAAGATTTAATAAATCAAAAGTGACAGTAGACACATTTATAATGTTTCAAAGGTTTTCTATTTTAAATAAATGCTGTTTAATGCTAATGCTGTCTTACCTACAGTAATGCTGAGAATGCAACAGGCACTTGCATTGTGTTATGAATTGATGAATGAAATCAATCTTAAAGTGGCTGTGTTTAAGTACTTGCATAAACTATATTTCAGACATCAGGTTTATGTTTATAGCTGAGTTTATGGGTTTCAACAACTTTCTTAACAATAATTCAATCAACCAGTCATTTAAATTGAATTTTGTGGGTAGGGCGACAACTGTTCGATGGGACTACTGATCGAGGAACACTTTCTACTGTGCTAAAAATCAGGAAATCGACTTCACTGAAGGTTGAAAAATGTTCCGAAGCCAAGAAGGGGCATTTTGGACCTCTGTCCTCCACCTTGAACACCATCCACATCTCACACTCTGCAGGTTATGGACAAAAGAGCAAGTGGTCACACTGTTTTAGAAATCTCTCGAGTTACAGCTGGGAATAGTAGCCAGCTAGACCTTGAGGGTCTATTTTAAGAGTCAAACAGCTGAGAGAGAGAGAGGATGAGAGAGAGAGAAAGTGCAGTGAGCTGTAATCATAGAGGCAGAGAGTCCCTGAGGATTCGCACAATGCTGTCAGCCCACCTTAGTAACCCCTCAGAGCTAAGCCTGTGCAGGTCTTATCAAATACCTCAAGCCATGCACTCCAGACTCCATCACGGCTCACTGTTCTGTTGCATTGTTCCACAGAGAGAGCTATTTAGCTGAAATTTTGAGCTATACAAAAGCCAAGCACCATATAAGTTGTTTTTGTCATTGCACGCTCGCGATTGAAAATCTCTGGCCATAGCGGTCCACTGGTCATCCTCAAGTTTTAGTGCCTGAAATCACAGGGAATTTGCACAAATTTATGAATGTCGCTGGCAGAAAAAAGGAGACTTGGCCCATCAAATGAAAGAAGCTAATTTAGAAAGTGTCATCCAAAATAAATATTCATCCGTCGTAACAGTGTGAGACTTCACCTCATCAAAACAGAGCAGAGATAGCCTCGCTGGGCAGCCTGCCTTTGAATATCAAACTTGGCTCAGCTGGAAGCCCAGCTTTGATTTTTCAAAAGGATGATCGTGTATGTCTGATTGCTCCAACTCACTGCATGGCACAGTGGGAAGATATCAGTGTGTCTGTATTAATGTCCTGGAACAGGTAAACACAGCTCATGGGGAGGGTAACTGTGCTGGGGATCAGTTCTTGCATCAGTCTGGACTGATATTTGTACATACTGTATATTCATCTATAGACTATTTCAATAACTAAAACAATAATATAAGAACTGCAATTCAAATTGACATGTAAGGAAGTAGATTTAAATTGAATTGAAATTATAACTGGAATGAAGTAGAAAAGTACAGTTTAAGACAAAAATAGTTTGTCAGGCAAATTATTTAAAGGGTTAGCTCACCCAAAAATGAATGAATTAAAAAATGTCATTAATAACTCACCCCTCGGATTTCATCAAAAATTTCACCTTAATTTGTGTTCCAAAGATGAACAAAGGTCTTACGGGTTTGAAACGACATGAGCGTAAGTAATTAATGACAGAATTTTCTATCCCTAGTTGTGTGTGATTTACCTGCGTGTTGCATCTGCGCGTCTCTCTACAAACAATTAATTACTTCAAAAACAGCGCCACCTCATTGCTGAAAAATATAATGTAACGATCTAGTATCTAGGCTATTTTATGAATAAAAATCGCGGGGAAGCGTTGACAACAAGTTTATGTGTGCGCGCAGCACAATCTGCAATCTCTGACCTCTCTCTCGCTCTGTGTGTGTGTGTGAGTGGTGTGTGTGTGTGTGTGTGTGTGTGTATGTGTGGATTGGTTGCAACTGTGCATTTGTTTGCATCCAGTGTGCGTGTGTGTGTGTGGGTTTGTGTGTGTGTGTGTGTGTGTGTGTGCGAGTGATGTGTGTGGTTTTGTTTACTGGTTTATATATCCTGGTGGGGACTTAAATCTGACATATATATATATATATACACACACAACTTTTAAAAAAATATTTTATTAAAATATTTTATGTCAGTTAATATCTATTTTATTTCAAGTAACGATTTTTTTATGGTTTTAGTTTTAATTTCAGTTTGAGTTAACTACAATAACACTGGTTTCTTCTGCTCACCAAGGCTGCACTGATTTAATAAAAAACAGAAATATTTTGTAACATTATAAATATCTTTACTGTCACATTTGATTAATTTAAAGCATCCTTGCGAAGAAAAAACATTAATTTCTTAAAAAAAAAAAAAAAGAAAACTAATCCCAAACTTTTGAACAGTAGCGTAGATGAAGTTAGAACGTGTTTCACATCATACCTCAGAGCCATCACAGCGTTTACTGGATCCGTGCAATCCAGAGGAACCTCCTTCAGTGAACACAGAAGCTCCAGCTCCTTCATTTTGTTCTGTGGGCCACAAGAAAAACCAAAAGAATCAATCTTTGCAATTACAGCATAAGCAGAATCAAACCACTGAATACAGTTGATAAATTCCCAAACTCTCTGCAGCTGTTCAAGTACAAATGGCTCTATTACTCTTTAAAGGAACTGGCGATTCTGCATGAGTACATTTAATGACTGTCGATGGGCGACGCCTGGGGTTTTTTGGGGGCTTGAGGAGTGGTTATGAACAAAGTAGACATGTGCCGGTATTCAGTAATGCGATATATCACGATAATGAATGTGCACGATATTGTTATCGTGGGCACTTCAAAATACAGAGAATAATTATGTATTACAAATTATTCCGAATGTTGATAAAGCAATAAGCCCCAAGAAGCCGTGGTTTACAGTGGATTTATAACAGCTAAGGGGCGTTGTTAGGCATTAGCTGTTATAAATTCACTGTAAACCACGGCTTCACGGGGCTTATTGCTTTTATAAAACGGTTATTCCATATACGTAGTAAGGTCTCACAAAATAAAACAGAGCAAATAAAGTGTAATGATATTAATAAAAACAGTATTCTTCCACCAAACAATGTAGTTCCTCAGAAACGGTTGTGGTTCCAACAAAGTGGTTGCCGAGCAGCACACAGAAGTAAACAAAGGTGTGTGTTTGTAGTGTAATTTACAACAGCTTCGAACGAGGCTCAACCAATCAGAATCAAGGACCGGAACTATCTGTTTTATAAGAGTTATTTTTTAACAAAGATTAATAACTTCTGTAGCTAATGTAGCTATTGCTCATTGCGAATGTTAATGCATTAACTAGGGTTAACTAATGAGATCTTATTGTAAAGTGATACCTATTGGTCTTTATAATTCTTTTGCACTTTAATCTGTGTAAAATTTTTAACTTTATACATTTTTTTGTATTGCTTTATTGTATTTAAATGTTCAGTTATGTTTGTTATAAGAAAAAAGTTATTAAAAATGTAATACTGTATTATGACAACACTAAATTTTGCAACTAAATTTCAATACCGTGATAATACCGTATACCGTGATAAAAGCATTAGCAATTAATCGCAACATGAATATTTGATACCTGCATATCCCTAGAACCTAGATCATTTCATACCGTTAACAGCTATAACACCAGCATTAAAGACTTTTAAAATAAGTGTTGCTCAAAACTCATTTTCGGACAGCAGCGGGTGATTGAAATAACTTCTCTTCGCGATCCGATGTGGATTATGGTAACCATACGAGGCAGAAATATTTATATGCGATGCAAAACACTATGCACGCTATCCATTACCGGAGTAAACATGGTAAATATGACAAATCGTGTTTGTATTTAGTTGCATATTTTATCTGTCAGTAAGTCTCACCTCTTTATACCTGATCATTACTTTCTAATTGAGATGTACTTACTGTAACTGCAAATAAACAGAAACAGACACGACTGAATAAGTATGTCTCCTTTCTTTTGTGAAATAACGGTAAATACCACTATATTTCTGTGTGATTAATTTTCAATCCTGACAAATTAATTCATTATGATGTATCACTTATTACTGTAAAACTGGTAAAACATCAATGCTTTGGTTATAACAAAAAATCCCAACCCTCTACATTGCGAGTAAATCACTCGCATATGCGACTAAATCTTACTCTGGGCGACTAAATAATATCTTACATTAGCCATCGGCTAATAAATTCTTAGATTTTACATGCCAGTATGTGTGTGAGAGGCGTTCAACACAGATTTTCACTCGATAAACACGCTGACTGAGCGCTTGAGAGTTTCGCTCTCCGTCAAGCGTTCTGTATTATTTGGATGCGCTCAATGGATCATGTCATGTACTCAATGGATGCGCAGTATGTAGCACGCAGCGCACCTGTATTTGGCGCACCGTAAACTAGTGTGAAGGCGCACGACTCGCCGTCGCTTTACTGATAGCGCTGTGTTTCTCACACATGCAAAGAGAGAGAGCGAGAGTCTCGACGCGCTACATGTAAACCATATTCTTTGTTGTATTTTCCTGTCAAAATAACAGAGTTCATTTGAAATTATTCAGCTTTTAAAAACAAGCAGACGATATGCTGATTTCTCTGGTAGTGGGCGGAGCTAATGCGCAAACGACATTCTCATTGGCTGGCGCTCATCTCGCCAAACTCGCCAAATTTTGATTTCACCA